ATGTAAGAACTTGTTCACCATGTAAAAACTTTTTCGTTATGCTTCAGAAGATTGGAGACTGTTGAGAATTAGGCTTGGGGTTGATTAATGATTGTGCATTGAGTCCCCTATACAGAATTTTATTGTTGTTAACAACCATATGATCAATAAATATGAGAGATGCCCTCTCAAAAAAAAAGAATAAGAAATTGGTATTTTTTATTTCTAAAACATTATTTCCTAAGCTAAGAAAATGAAAACATGTATCTATTGCTAAAATAAATTTTTTCTGATACATATCAGAAGTTCAGCTGGAACTGAGATACCTAAAATTCATAAACTGAACTTATTTCTTTAAAAAGGATTGATTTTTCTTTTCTATTTTCAGCCTTTCAAATAAAATTTAAATAATACACTTTTTACTAAAATATGATAGCATTTTAAATAAATACAACTTGAGTTTTTATACATATGCCCATTCTGTCTACATGAAGTAACTACTGCAGAATTTAGTCATGTGAAACAAAAAATGTATTAATAGGAATATAGATATCTGAATATGAATTGCTGAAAGAAACATGGTTACAAAGAAAACATTTTAAATGAATGTATTACAGCATTAAATATTAGGTTGACTATAGCAAACACTATAGTTATTAGTGCTTTACACTTACTTCTTACTTTTATTACTAACCAGTTATTTAAACTTTATCAAATTCACAAGTTACTCACTTTCTCTCAAACTTCATCCATAAAAAGAGCATTTAACAAAATGCCAGTGTTGTATTCCAATTTCTAACACTCAAAACATCTTAACTCATTTTAATAATATCCTTGATTCTAAAATCTAACTATTCTGAAAGTGTTTTTATTTTATACAACTGATCTACCACCAGCTTTTATGTAAATGTGCATTATGCTCTCCTTGAGGCCCCATAAAACTCCAAAAAGTCCCTTGATATTCTATTTGATATGAACATTAAAAAATTGTCTGTCTAAAAGCTATGAATGCGGAAATTCTTCCTAAATTTCAAATCAGTTTAAACAATGTTTACCTCAAAAAGTAATATGGCTAAAACTCACACATCTAAATACACATATTATAAAACAAAACATTTACTTAACCAAAGAGTAGTTCATATCTATACTTTAATAATCCTAAATAAATGCTAAAAATAAGGTAACAAAGTTATTCTACTTACTTTCTTCTTTGTGCTATTCTATAATTTCAAATTTTTCTCAAGGAACATGCAGTAACTTAAACACTTTTTAAGACTCTTTGTATGCCAGCATATATAGCTGGACTTTGCAAATGAAAAGCAAAATGAGATGTTAGAATGAGGGGGATAATTTCCACCCAGGTAGTTTCACTCATTAACTCATTATTCTAACACGATTACTGAGTCCCACTGTTCCTGGAAGTCAAAAACACGTAAAAAAATACACCAGTAAGAGAGAAGAGAAGAGTGTTCTATGTTTACAGAAACACATTCTATGTTTACAGAAGAGTGTTCTATGTTTACAGAAACACATTCTATGTTTACAGAAAAGTTAGAAGAAAAGGAGGAAGAACCATAGTAAGATACCCAATAATGAGGATTTAAATAAGGATTTCTCCTTCCCTTCTATCTTTAACTACAATAATTCTCACTTCAGAAAATAGAAGAATCAAGTAATTTACTTCTTTCTCCTACATTTTTACTGGAGTCAACAGGTCACAAACAGGAGGATGAAGGCTGGTCTCAATATTCTTACCAAAGTTATTTTTCGCTAAACTAAAAATTAAGTTCTACTTTAGATGTGTGGCTTATACATGTGTCCTAGTTGCTTTTAACAACAACGACGAAAGAAAAAAAAGGACATCAAGAAGCCAATAAAATTAGACATCTTAGACCACTTACCTCTCCAGGATGCAATCTATCCCAGTTTTCATTAATGTATGTCATAAGTTCAAGTTCAGAATCAAAGTATTTCTTTTTGTGAATAACACTTAGGTTGTAAAGGCATAGGTGTGCTATATCTACCCTAGAATCCAAAAATAATCAAAATACACAAAAACAATGTTTTGAGTTATTGTTAGAAAAATCATGCAATTTTTTTTATAAAACCAGAAATTAAAAAACTCAAAGCATTCAGGGGAACAGAAGGCCAATATTATAAGTCATATTTACAATACAATAAATCATTAAATATGAAAATACCTGGAAAATATTTAAATATGAAAATAACTGGAAAACATTTAAATAAACATTTACTTATCCTGAATAGTAACTAAAAACTAAAGGATATTTGAGTAACTTAAAATATATTCAAAGAGGATCTGACTTCAAGAAAAAATAACGTTTCACTTAAATATAAGCCACAGAACAGCTCATACTTTAACAGACTTCATCTGTTACAAGAGTTAATTCTTATCATTTCCTAAAATATGTAAAACACTTAACAAAAATTTCTAGTACTTACTATAAGCATTGTATCAGTAAATCTCCAAAAATTCATCATATTTCCCATGCCCGAGAATTAATACACTGAAGCAAAAACTGGCATTTTGTTTTAAGACCTTTCTCTCTTCTACTGTCTGCTATTCTGACGGCTCAAAAGAATTAGAAAAATGAATAAGAACCCAAAAGAATTAGAAATATGAATAAGAATTTTGAAGATCTAAAAAGATATCTGAAAGCTATATTTTATGCTATTAGAAAATGAATGGCCTTATTACTTTAGCAATAAAACTAGATAATATTTGGTGAAGATGACATCAGGTTTGAGGATAACGAAAGGAAAAAAAAAAAACAGGCATAAAGAACAAAAGATTTTTATTTAAGCCAAATAAATGTATATAGAAAGTTTCACCCTGTAGGTTTAAGACTATGACTCTTTTTTGTTCTTTAATAGAAATGTCCGTACTTACCACTGTAATGGTAGACGTTTGAGGTATTCTGGTCCAGAACTGCAGACAGAGCAAATAAATGTATAAAACCTAAGGAAAAAGAGAAGTTGTATATTGAGTAATCAAGGATATACATAATCACTTAACAACTGAAGTTAATACCCAGCAAGTGCATATCCTATCGTGGATGTAAGGACTGGTACACAAAGAAAAATATAATTCGAATTATGATATATGATAGTGATGTAAAGAATTTTTTTCTGGTAACAAATAATGAAATAGTTCATACTGGGGAGAAAGGACATTTTTTTTTAAACCATTAGAGACCTTCAGAGTTCACGCACAGATTCATATACAGGCATTGTTTACTAATGGCTTATAAAAGGAAAAAAAAAAAAACAGGCATAAAGAACAACAGATTTTTATTTAAGCCAAATAAATGTATATAGAAAGTTTCACCCTGTAGGTTTAAGACTATGACTCTTTTTTGTTCTTTAATAGAAATGTCCGTACTTACCACTGTAATGGTAGACGTTTGAGGTATTCTGGTCCAGAACTGCAGACAGAGCAAATAAATGTATAAAACCTAAGGAAAAAGAGAAGTTGTATATTGAGTAATCAAGGATATACATAATCACTTAACAACTGAAGTTAATACCCAGCAAGTGCATATCCTATCGTGGATGTAAGGACTGGTACACAAAAAAAATATAATTCGAATTATGATATATGATAGTGATGTAAAGAATTTTTTTCTGGTAACAAATAATGAAATAGTTCATACTGGGGAGAAAGGACATTTTTTTTTAAACCATTAGAGACCTTCAGAGTTCACGCACAGATTCATATACAGGCATTGTTTACTAATGGCTTATGTGTACCAGGAATTGTGATGGCGACCCCCTTACACGTTGTTACATTTAATGCTCAGAACAATGGTAAAATAAGAGGATACAAGTTGACCTTTCTAAAGTCAGAAAGATAATAATTTAAACCAGATGTTTTTATACCACGTTTAGTGGTCTATCTTTATTTTCTTCCTAGAGTTCTCTTTGCTACTGTACATCCTCCTAGTCCAGAAAGCATATTAGATCCACTTTCAGAAATTCTTTAGATATAAATTGGGTATATCAAGGTTCTGTGGACTTTTCTGTCATAGGAACTCTGGGTTTTTTAAAGGAAGGTACCAACAAGATTTGTTTAGAGTACTGTGGGGGTACAGGAGCAAATATAATCATTGATCAAATACTTTACAGCTTTCTGGAATGATATCCAAATGCAAAGTTTTTTATTATTTTTAAATTATGTATAATTTAAGTATATTATTTAATATTTTCCCTCTAAGGTGATCCCTTTACAAATCACTATTAAAACTACTTTTAGAAACCGAAATTACAAACATAAACACAATAAAAAAGCTAAAAAAACAAATCAATGAAGTTCAAATGTCCTCCTCACCTGTCTCCAAATAGCATTGGCTTTTGAAGGCATTGCACACAAGCCTCATGAAACCACTGCTTACATTTGCAGCATTGTAGCATCTTTAAATACCAGCTATAAGAAAAAAGTCAATTTAAAATTATTACCTTTTGACAAGGTAAAAGTTTTTAAAAAGTGGCATTATGCAGAATACAGTTCTGATTATAGTATCACATCTCTGCTATACTCTTTTAACATTTTCTCTTTCCAAAAAAGGTTATTAATATTGACCATTTCATCCCTCCTCTGTTACTCATGAGAATTTATAAGCTGTTGAAAGATACATCTACTGTTTTCTAGTCAGCAAGGACCTGGTCCCTACTTCCTACGCTAAGTAAAAAATCTCTGTCAAAGCACAAATAAGCCTGGGAATTTTTTTTCAAATCAACTCTCTACATGCTAGAAGAGATCATTTTCAGAGGTCACTGATATATACAGTTGTTTGCCCCTCACCTGCCAAACAGCCATAGGCAGCTTGGTATTTTCATTGTGTTTGTTATTCTTGGCCATTACAGTTGAAAAGGAAAACAGTACAGCAATTTAGTAAATTTGGTTAACATAATTATAATCCAAGAATCTACCAGGTGTAATGACTTTGTGATAGGTCTTATTCAAATAGCTGAAGATGCTAAAATTGACTCTTCAACTAAGGATATCCTCTCTTTTCAGTTAGTACATGATTCTGATATATTGATATCCTTACTTGCTACCCAAACAATGTCTTGTCTTCTAATAAATCTTTTGCTCAACAAGTGAGCCCCACATTAATTTTAAGCTATATGGAAAAAGGCAAGAAGACAGCTATTAAGTAAGCTCATTAATTCATCTAAAGACTATAATAAATACTAAATATGTTCCAGGTACTCTGCTAGGTGCTTTAGTTAGTGGGGGTTAGCAATATCAAACACAGTTCATGTAGTCATGGTATTTCGAGATAAGGAATGATCTACCTCATAAAATAATAATGTCTATAATCGTTTCCACCTATTTTGAATAATGCTTTAAACTAAATGCTACGTCTAAGTGAGTAAGGGAGAAAGATCAATCTCTAGGCCTTTTCATTGTATCTCTAAGCAATTTTGTATTTTTTAAGTAATTTTAAGAAACTAGACAGAATGNNNTTAAATAGAATTCGTGCCTCATATCGAATTTACCGAGTATCATAATTCCTCCAGGTGGTAAAGATACCTCGAGACAAATGCTGGGCATAGAAGCCACAGGGCATAAATCTGCAAAGAAGTAAAAAGCTAACCTTTGCAAACAATATGGCTTCTCTCTCACTTACCAACTTTACATTTCCCTGTATGGCCCCGGAAGATGACTGGTTAGCCAGAGACGGGTAAGATTCCTCAAGGGAGGAACAACCTAAGACAGGCACAGTCGCAGGGGGGCCATCAGGTGAGAATTTGGGGATCAACAGAGGTGAGGCTCAGAACCTCACCCCCCCTGCTTTGAGAGAAATCTTCTGCATCCGTGGATGTCTTGCTGCCCTTGTCTAGCCTGGATTAATACTTAGTCCATAGGCACACACCTGATCATCTGATCATCTACATTTGCCTTCTTACAGCACTAAACTATGTTTTCTACCTTTATCTTGCATCTACCTACCACTTCAGCATTTTATTAAAAATAAAAAATAATAATAAAGGGAGAAATGTGGGTTCCACACACAAATCAAGTATAAAAATCAAACGAATTTTCATATTTGACCTGATTGTTAATAGTTCATAATGCGTGATCAAAACCGAAAGTTTCTGTGATGACTGCCCTTGTAAGAACTTATTCACTATGTAAGAATTTGTTCACCATGTAAGAACTTGTTCGTTATGCTTCAGAAGATTGGAGACTAACAAGAATTAGGCTTGAGATGGATTAATGATTGTGCATTGAGATTGACTCCCCTATACAGAATTTTATTGTTGTTAACAACCATTTGATCAATAAATATGAGAGATGCCCTCTCAAAAAAAAAAAAAAAAGTTTCCTCCAGTAAATTTTATTGTCTCCCTAGGACATTATGTATTTCTCAAAATCTTCAAATTGCTGTTAATAAAATTTCCACTAGTTCATTAAAAAAAAAAAAAAAGATTATGATGGGACAACCAAAGAGAAGTAATACAATCTCTCTTTGCAACACCAGAAGCATCATGTCAAGAACTCTGACTAGTCCGATTATATTCTTTCAGACTATTACTGGAAACACTGCATTTTCTAATCATGACACCGGATTTCAAGAGTAACTTTCAAGAACTGGAGAACAACTGAGAGAGTTTGTAAATCATGTCATAAAGAATGTTTGACAGCAATGGAGATTTTAGCCTGGAAAAGAGAACACTATTAGAATGTGAGTCATGAGAGTGGGAAATGAAATATGATTGCTGGATTGAAATATTTTAAGAGTTACCTCCTAAGAGAGGTAAGATGTATTTGTTTAGTTCTAAAGAGCAGAACTTAGACCAATGATCAGAAGTTAAGGGTAAATTTCTAAACATTCTTAGAATTCTCATTGATTCATTGAGCAACTATTTTTTTTAAGATTTTAAACAGCTCTATTGAATTATAATTTACATTAGATTACAGTATTTCAAGTGTACAATATGATGTTTTAACATATGTATACATCTGTGAAACCATCACTGTAGTCAAAACAATGGACATACTCATCATCCCCAAAACTTTTCTTCTGCCCCTTGGTAATCCCTCTCTTAACTTCAGGCAGCCACCTTTCTGTCACTATAGGTAAGTTTACATTTTCTAGAATTTTGTATAAATGGAATCATAAACCATGTACCTTTTGTCTTAGATCATTTCATCCAGCATAATTATTTTGATTTATCCATGTTGTTGTGTGTATTATTAGGAAAACATTTTTAATTACAGACATTCCAGGTAATTAGACTGCTGTTATTAACAAGCATGCTGAAATCTCAAGTCACTTGATGTGTCCTTTGTTTTAGGTCATAACTGTCCAAGGTATGATAATCACATGAGAGCACTCAGTTTTGCAGATGTCAACTGACTCATCAGAAAAAATCTGCTTACAGGAAAATATCCTTATGACCATATCCATTTCTTTATTGAATAGCTTGACGGATTTCCTTTACTGATTCATACCAAAGCCATCCTTGTCAACCAAACCAAGAAAGGATCCTGCATGAGTCAACTCCAGAATGCCACTTTTGTATTGCCAGCAGGGAAGAAAACCTCATGAATATCAATCACAGAGACTCAGACAGCATCACTGGTGAGTCCAGTTTAATAAATATCGAAGTTTTATTGCCTGTTCCGTGAGGTCTGCTCTTTTCTCCAGGTGTATGCAGTATGGCACAGCCTTCTTTCCTGTTGCTCTTTTAGGATTAGTTGTATTAACTATATTTTCATATTATATGTGGTTTTGAGAGGAGGTCTCTGTCTCACCTCTCACGCTGCCATCTTTAATCCTCTTTGTGTTATTTAGCAAATATTTAATGTTAAAGATGAATACAACAATACTCTAATTTTCTCCCCTAATTTTCTTTGTTGACATTTTCATGCACTGACAATTCACTATCACTACCATATCACAATCAATAACAAAAATGGACAATATAAACAAATAGAAATTACTTAAAGGGCATTACTTTTTACTATTTACTTACTCTCCAGGGCCTCCACAGTAGCAGTAACATTGCTGGATGTTGGTTTTATGACCTGCATCCCATTCAAGGTCTGCGACGCTATAGGGTAACGTCTGCTTCATGACTTGCAATGCTTTGGCATTTGGTCCTTTTTTAAGCGCACCACCCCTCTATGTTAGAGAAAAAAAGTTATTTTAAACAAGTGAAGGATAGAATTTTAAATATAATTCTGCAACTTAAAAATGCTTCTGGAAGTTCTGAAGAAATTTCCACTTTAAATTTCTTACCATATCACCAACTATTTGACTAATAATAATCTTTATTTATTTTGTTGTCTTTTCTTTCCAACTATTTCCCCAATTCCAAGACCACTATCAAAAATGAATGCAAGAATGGTTGCGCTTCACTTAAGCATCATGGCCAAGCAGCAAGCAGCACCTCACACCCAGCACTGACTGCTCATCTCTCCAATGAGCCTGGGAGTGCGGTCACCATGGCAACATGCCTCACCACCTCCACAGGGCTTCACCCTGATGCTGAAAGGTACCTTGGTTGTCGTTGCAAAAACACACTGCCGACAGAGCCATTTCTCGTCTGAGTCAATCACACTGGAATCAATATGAGGTGTGTGACACAACTGGTGATAACCTTAAAATCAAAAAAAGCATAAAGCAAATTCTATTTTAGTAATAAATATTGCAAAACAATTTCAAGAAGCCATTTTAGTATTCTCTTTTCCTATGTTAATATATTTACAACTGATGAATAAATTTATGGCAACAGCTTCAAATTACCAATGTAAAGTATTTTTAATCATTAATCTTCAACAGGGAGATTAAGTATGTAAAGCTTTTCCACAAGAAATCAGTGTTTACCTTGGCCACACTTATCACATATAACCATTTCATTGGGAGCTTCTGAATACTCTTCTTGACATATTGTACAGACCATTTCCCCACTTCCAGAGGCTCCTGAAATATTTAAAGTATACATCAAAATGACAATCATAATCAAGAAGTGTTTCATTTCACGTAACAGAACTACTTTTTTGACTCAGTCAGTAGCCCATATTGGCAATGTTTGTTCACTAGATCATAGATTTCTTCAAGGCAAAGTACTATGCACAAATGCTAACTTTCTGCTTCATTTCTATGTTCTTTCCACCTCTAACAAGATGCCTGACTGCTTACATGCATAATTTAACTTGCTTTTTGGCAGAAGGCATATTTAAACTGCTCTCAGACAGGATCTTTATCATTCATTTCTCACAATCCCACTCTCCTGCAGGGGAAGGGGAAGAGATGTTTTGTGAACACTAGAAGTACTCTTGGACACGTATCTACCCATGTACACGTATTTACACACCCTACACTGCCCAACACCATGAAAGAAAAGAAAAACAGCAAGAAAGGTATGTCCATGACCCCTTCCCCTCTGTATTCAGAACAATTCTTTTTATTTACTAACTTATGAAAGAAGCTGAACACAAATTTCTAGCTTCTGAAATCTGGAAATACGGTGTCCAATAATGTGTCCTAACAAAATCCCACTATAACAGAAGTTGGGAGTTCCACAGTTATTATATTTTTTACCTGAATAGGTAAATTATTTCTTCCTTAAAAATTTTTACTCTAAAAACAATTTTATTCTACAGAATCGAGAATACAATTTTATCACTCCAACACATTTCCAGTATTCTCAACTTCAAAAGACATAGTTATGCCTATATACATAGTTTATTCACATACCAACAACAAAAATTTACAATTTTGTGCTGCAGGTCACACATTTAGGTTCTTTACACATATTATTTTGTTTATTTCTTAATAGAATTACAACTTATTAGATAAATATCTTATTTATAAAGAAGAATTAAGGCTCAGAAAGATGACAGAACTAACCCAAGGACCCTCAAGCAGAAAGTATCAGGGCTAGGATTCAAACCCAAATAGGCCAAAGTCCATATTCTCTCCACTATTAGATACTTCTTTTTATCAAGACTATGCAATATTTCCTCTATCAAAAGCATTTTTCACACTGCAGTTTTCAAAATTATAACTTCTAATAGCTAGATAATATTCCAACCAGTGGAAAGAATGAAATTTACTCTATTATACCTCTAATCTTAAACATAAAGGTAATCAATTTTTTGTTTGTTCCATGGATTTTTCCTTCTTTGTTTTGGTGTCTGGTTCTCTCTCTTCTCTTCTCAGGCTTTGTTACTTCCTTTAACACTTGGCTAGACATATGTCCCACAGTCTCTGCATTTATGGCTTCAGTTAGGATAGCAACCAAACTGAGCCTCGACCCCTCCAGTGCAAATTTTCAATTCTCTGGAAAAGGACAGACAGCCCCAGATTTGGGGCTGTCTCATCGGACATCCACTATATATAATGAAGGGTAGTTCCTCAGAAAATCCACTATATATAATGATTGGGGTAGGTATCTCATCGGACATCCACTATATATAATGAAGTAGGCAGTTCCTCAGAAAATGGAGTACTGACTCAACAATGTATGTTCACCTCAGGAAACAATCCTTAAAAAGCAGGGAACTGTGTTTGCTTATGAAAATCCAAGCACACCTTTTTTACCAACAAGTTTACAAGAACTTTCTGTGTAACTCAGTGACCTTCTATAGTCTCCTCTACTCTAAATCCAGTTGACTGTATAAAGCTCTAACCATTTCATCTTAGATATACCAATTTTTTTGTTATTATTAAAATAAAGCTACAATAAATATTTTTAATCTAGCCTTTTTATTTTTGAATTCTTTTGAATAAATTGCTGGAAGTTTATTATACTTTATAAAAGTATATATAAATAAAGCATTTTTATGCATTAATGCAACTGTTAGAGTAATATCCAAAATAGATTTATACTACCACAATGTACCATTTTCACAGAAACCATTTTTAATGTATTTAATGGTTATTAACATGGTATCTGCCTGTTGTAATGCACGTTTCTTTGACTACTAACATATTTTCCTTACTTAGATAAACTTTTTAAAAGAAACTTACTAGATAGGTGAAATCCTTCTAATTTATTAAGTTATTCCGCTACATATATTATTACTTGCAGGTTTCTTACATGAAGAAAACAACCAAAGCTACTCTCCACAGTGAAATCTGCTATAAGGCAGTTTCCCGTTGTACTTGCTGGTTCTATGGCAACTCCAAGTTATTAAGTTAATTTACTAATTAAATAAAATGTGCGTTATTTTCTGGGTGTTACAAAGGATTAAATGGCCAAGGAGCAATCCTTTGTAATTCTAAGGATAGTAAAAGGAGCCAGTGAGGAAAGAACCACCACAGACCATTAAACTGGATAGTAGGGCTGCACGACCTTTTCCAGGGAATTGAAAATTTGCACCAGAGTGGTCGAGGCTCAGTTTGGTTGCTATCCTAACTGAAAGGCACATGACTGGACCCCTCACTTCCACAACTTTCTATCCCTCTGTACAACTGGTTTTCTTCTTCTCTTCTGGAAGGAAGAGAAGGAAGAGAGGGAAGGAAGGAAGGAAGGAGAGAAGAAGGAAGGAGAAAGAAAGAAACAGATCTATATTTAACCTGCATGAACTTTGAAAAGGTGTAAGAGTTGGAAGTAACATATAGCTAATAGAAAGGGAAGAGCAGTACATGTTTCCATCCCACCATGGAGACCCACATTACAAACCAAGAAAGGATAATTCTTTATGTAGGATAATAAGATCTGTTCAATATCAACTGTTCAATTGTTGAAGATCTCTTAGCCCTTTTCTCCTTGACTCCGAAATGCAGATTCAAAACATAATTTTAGTCCTTTAAATTGATCAGCCCCAAGAATTGTAAAAAGATTCTCTACAAAAACATTTTTATATATTAACAGCTAATGAATTCTCCACCTAAGCCCTGAACACCAACTAGACAGATGGTAGACCATACCAAATCTTTTACCAAAACTCTTTCGTTCTTTAAGAAAAATTAAGAGTGAAATGAAGAAATAGAACACTGCAGTAACCTACCATAAAGTGGCACTTGGGATTCAAATACAAATTCTAATCACTAAATATCTTAAAAAGGTATCCACTCTTTAGGGAAAGATAATTTACATCTCCTTTCTATAAAAGGAGATATGAAACCCAGGTCTTAGTTCAGGCATGTTAACCCCAGTACAAGGAAAACCAGAAGTGGGGTACTAATGTAAGCTAAAATACTCAGATTTTTAATATTCATACTTTTTATAAATAAAGCACTTCCCATGAAAGAGATACCTGGAAAAACCCCTTTATGTAGCAGATTCAAAGGGGATACAACAATTATGGCTTGTAAAAGTGGAAAAGCACTGCAAGAAATATACCTATAACCAAACCAAGGCATACCTGTATTCATTTTCACTTGTCCCCAAATATAGCCTCATTTTCCTATCTAAACATAAAAAACCATAATTAAACAGTAATTTCAAGCCATTTTTATTAATGAATATTTCTAGTACTCTAAACCTGTTTAATATGTCCTAATTCCCCAAAACATCCAGCAAACAATATGTTCTCAATAAATATTAGCTCCCTATATTACTTGGTACCAATATAAGGAAGTAACAGCAAAGTTGAAGCCCAAAATTTTACTCATATTAGTGGCTAAAAATTTTTCCTCAAAGTTCTTAGGAGGATCCTAACAATAGCTTATAGGTGTGCATGAGTGACACATCTGTCCTCGAGTCTACCTCTACCCTATAGAGCAATTCTTGTACTATGCTCTATAATACAGGTTATAACCCCTTCAAGACTATTAACAATATATTGACTGTTTAGGTTTTCCTCAATAGTGATTCTGAGTCATCTTAATACACTGTATACTCAACTGACAAAACTAGAAAATAATAACCTGAAGAAAATCAAATTTTTGTATAAATCATGTTCAAGAGAAATAGTAGCACCTGCCTGTTTGAATGTCCTTCCAGAGAACCCAGGATTTAGAACTGTCTTCAAATATGATGAAGCAGCTCTGTTTCAATATGTTTATCTGAAATACAGAGGAATACTTCTGGTGATTCCTTTTTAAATTAAAAACATGAAGTTACATTCAATTACAAGTTTACTGCTAAAACAGCAAAAGATAGATTAATGAGACTTGCCTTTTTGATAGTTCCAAGATAAAACAAGCCATCTGACCATCTAGCTAGGACATCCTGACCCTCTTCAAATTTACATGCTGGCTTTTTGACTTTATGTCCATCCTGTAAAGACAGCTTGGTCAAGGATGTTGGGGTCTTTTGGTTTCGACGTAAAGGAGACCGCTTGTGGACCAGTGAATTTCCTGCTCCTGTGGAGTCTCTGTTTAGGAAATAAAAGACCATCATAAGATAAACTTACTTGTAGAGCTTATTTTATAGCCATGATGTATTTCATATATTAATCAAACATTCTGATTTAGTATATTTAATCAGAATGTTTGATTAAGGGAAAATTTACCAAGACCTCAAATCACAAATACTCTCCAGAAACACAGTTTAAAACAAAATGATAGCAGTTCTCAATGTTCATTCAGCACCTACCCTAAGTAAGGCCAGGATTCAACAACCACTCTAAAATAACATATGCAAGGTGGCTATTACCCAAATAACAGTTCTAAGTTGAAATGGGCAAGCCATGGTCATGAGCAAAGGACGCTTTGAATCTCATGCCTGGGTTTAGACAAACTAAAAGAAGTTACAAATGGCACAATTTCATAAGCACTTGATGAAGAATACGTCATGTGTAGTTAAAACACATTAACGAATGGCTTTGGGATAGTTGGGTCTATTCAACTCATTGGAAAGATAGTCATGACCTCCTTAGAGGGAATCACAACTGAATTAAGCCTTGCTTACTGATGGGAATGTGTTAACAGTCCCTCAATTATTCAGACTGGAGGTAAAAAAAAAATTGAGAACCAAATCATACTCAAATGATAAGTTATTATCTATAAGATTATTTACCTTATTTTAAGAAAAGACCTCAAAATTACATGCTCCAAAATTACCTAACTTATGTATCAGGTATTCCATAAACAGCATAACATACCACCATCATCTTTCTTAAAGGTACCAAAGCAGTATTTCATTTCACTTTGCATATCAATATAGGTATTTTTCACTAAACATACAATAATATGTACAACTAGATAGACAATACAGGCATACCTTGTTTTATTGTGCTTCACTTTTTATTGTACTTCACAGATACTGTTTTTCACAAATTGAAGATTTGGTAACCCTGTACTAAGCAAGTCTATCAGCACCATTTTTCCAACAGCATTTGCTCACTCTGTGTCTCTGTGTCACTATTTTGGTAATTCTCACAGTATTTCAAACCTTTTTGTTATTATTATATTTGTTATGGTGATCTGTGATCAGTGATCAGTGATGTTACTATTTTAATTGTGTGGGGCACCAAAGACTGTGCCCAAATGAGACAGCAAACTTAACTGATAAATGTGTGTGTTCTGATTGCTCCATTGCTCTGATTGCTGCTGTTTGCCTATCTCTCTCCCTCTCCTTGGGCCTCCCTATTCCAAGACATAACAATATTGAAATTAGGCCAATCAGTAACCCTACAATGACCTCTAAGAGTTCAAGTGAAAGGAGGGGTCGTACATCTCTCACTTTAAATAAAAAGCTAGGAATGATTAAGTTTAGTGAGAAAGGCATGTTGAAAAATGAGGTAGGCTCAAAGCTAGGCCTCTTGTGCCAAACAGTTAGCCAAGTTGTGAATGGAAAGGCAAAGTTCCTGAAGGAAATTAAAAGTGCCAGCCCAGTGAACACACAAATGATGAGAAGGCAAAACACACTTATTGCTGATATACAGAAAGGTTTAGTGGTCTGGATAGAAGATCAAACCAGCCACAACATTCCCTTAAGCCAAAGCCTAGTCCACAGCAAGGCCCTAACTCTCTTCAAGTCTATAAAGGCTGAGAGAGGAGAGGAAGCTGCAAAAGAAAAGTTAGAAACTATCAGAGATTGGTTCATGAAGTCTAAGGAAAAAAGCCATCTCCATACAATAAATTGCAAGGTGAAGCAGCAAGTGCTGATATGGAAGCTGCAGCAAGTTATCCAGAAGATCTAGCTACAATCCTTAATGAAGATGACTATACTAAACAACAGAGTTTCAATGTAAACAAAACAGCCTTCTGTTGGAAGAAGATGCTATCTAGGACATTCATAGCTGGAGAGAAGTCAATTCTTGCCTTCAAAGCTTCAAAGGACAGTCTATCTTCTCAGAGGCTAATGCAGATGGTGACTAAGTTGACTCATTTACCATTTTGAATATCCTAGGGCCCTTAAGAATTATGCTAAATCTACTCTGCCTGTGCCCTGTAAATGGAACTTGACAAAGCCTGGATGACAGTTTATCTGTTTACAACATGGTTTACTGAATATTTTAAGCTCACTGTGCAGACCTACTCAGAAAATGATGCCCTTCCAAATATTACAGCTCATTAACAATGCATGTGGCCACCCAAAGGCTCTGATGGAGATGTGCAGTGAGATTATAATGCTGCTTTCACACCTGCTAATACACCATTGCATTCTGCAGCCCATGGATCAAGGAATAATTTCAACTTTCAACTCTTACTGTATTTTGTACATATACAGATGCCATAGATAATGATCCCTCTGAAGGATCTAGGCAAGGCAAACTGAAAACCTTCTGGAAAGGACTCACCATTCTAGATGCCATTGAGAACACTCATGATTCATGGAAGAGGTCAAAATATCAACATTAACCTAAATCCTTTCAAATAAGGAATGAAAGAAGTTGATTCCAACTCTCATTATTGAGACTTCAATGGAGGGAGTAATTGCAGATATGGTGGAAATAGCAAGAGAACTAAAATTACAAGTGGAGCCTGAAGATCTGACTGAATTACTGCAATATCATGATAAAGCCTGAATTGATAATGAGTTGCATCTTACGGATGAGCAAATAACGTTTCTTGTCATGAAATTTACTCCTGGTGAAGATGCTATGAAGATGCCAAAATAACAACAAAGCATTTAGAATATCACATAAACTTAGCTGATAAAGCAGCCAGCAGGGTTTGAGATTGACTCCAATTTTGAAAGAAGTTCTAATGTGGGTAAAATGCTATCAAACAGCAAGGCATGCTACAAAGAAATTGTTCATGAAAGGAAGAGTCCATCAGTACAGCAAACTTCATTGCTGTCTTATTGTAAAAAAATGCTACAGCACCCCAACCTTCAGCAACCACCACCTTGATCTGTCAGCAGCCATCAACAATCAAGGCAAGACCTGCCACCAGCAAAAAGATTAAAAATTGCTGAAGCTTAGATGATGGTTAGCACTCTTTAGCAATAAAATATTTTTAATTAAGGTATGTACATTATTTTTTAGACATAATGCTATTGTACACTTAATAAAGTATAGTCTAAGCTTAACTATTATATTCACTGGGAAAGCAAAAAATTCATTTGACTTATTTTATTGCAATATTTGCTTTATTCCAATAGTATGGAACCAAACCCACAGTATCTCAAAGTATGCCTATAATTCAGTGAGAGATAAGATAAAGTTAAGTAAAAATAAAACAAATGGGGAAGAAAAAGAATGTTTCAATGCCCAGGAACTGGGAATACCTCATCTCAATAGCTTAAGAATACACAATTCTGGGAAGTTCTGTCATAAGCTACAATATGGATGAAATTTAAAGACACTATGCCAAGCAAATAAGCCAGAGAGAAAGGACAAATATTATGTAACTCTACTTTTATGTATGTAACTATGGTAGTCAAATTCATAAGGACAGAGAGTAGAATGCTGGTTGCCAGGGGTTGGGAAGGAGGCATAGGGAGTAAATATTTAAAATGTATAGTTTCATCTTAAAAGATAGACATTTAAAAAATATCCAAAGGTACAATGACTGATAGCTTCATGAAACTGCTGAAAAACAATCTATGCATTCATGAAGCTGAACAAGTCAAAGAAGGACAAATACAGAGAAGTGTACACCCAGATATACCACAGTAAAAAAGCTAAAGTCAAAGAGAAAATCTTGAAAGCAGAGAGAAAAAATAACTCATCATGTGCAAGGAAACCCCAGTTAAGATTAACTTCTTATCAGACACAATGAAGGTCAGAAGGCAGTGAGATGACATATTCAAGGTGCTGAAAGAAAACTGTAAACCAAGAATCTGATATTCAGCAAAAACCTGTCTTACAAAAATGAGGTGAAATAAACACTCTCTCAGACAAAGACTGAGAGACTTGTTGCTATCAGAGCCATTTCATAAGAAACACTAAAAGGAAGTTATGGAAAAAGTAATAAAGTATAATGACAGTATAAAGACCTATTTCCTCTAAAGTAAATCTATGAAATGACAGAATTGTATTGTTTCATCTATGATATATGAAAATGTAATATATTTGACAATAATAGCACAAAGAAGGTGGAAGGAAAAGAACTGTATTAAAGTAAATAACACCAGATGGTAATTCCAATCAAAGGGAACAAATGAAGAAAAACAGAAGTGCTAAATAAGAGTAAATATAAGTAGAGTGAGTATGTCACTTCAAGGAAGTATCTGCCATATACCCAAGTTAGTCATCATTTCAAGTAAAGATGGTGTTCCATGAAAAAGCTGCTAGTTCAGCTGGCAACTCAATGGCATAAAAAATACCTCCTATTTCATTATACATGATAATAAAATCCTAAACTCAAGGTTAAGATTAAGTGAAAATAATTTTTATTATTTCACCAAGAATGTTCATAAGTGAAATAGGTTTCCTGTGCATGTTTTGTTTCACTGTGAGTGCTCAACAATGAAGAATATAGTACATTTTGATGCCACTGCCTTGCTTTATGCTAAGACACACAGTTTGACCAGACATTGTTTTTACACCATCTGTACAAACGTCAACAAGTGTGAAAGGCAAATAACATCATGGTATAATTGTGAAAAGAGTTTTGACCCTGCAGACGATCTGAAAGGATCCAAGGATACACACTGAGAACCACACTCCAAATAAAGAAATACATATTGCCATATATTATTGCAGTAGTTACCTGTGTGAAAAGGCACTTTAGAATTAGAATTACAGGTCTAAAAGGTTTAAAAGTCTGGCAAGATGAATGTTAGAGGGAAGTAAAAATTGAGGATCAATCACTGCAATGAACTTTCTGAGCAGGAAAGCCTAATGCCAGGCTAAAAAACATCTTTCTCCAGACACTTAAACAATTTAATGTCTTCAAATCACAATATGAAAATAACCCTATCAAGTAAACAACTTTATAAAAAGCTGTAAGTCCAGTGGTCACCAGGGCATTTTGTTTCCTT